ATAATAATAAAGGGAACATGAAAGACAGAAAATTACCCACTTATTCTGTTTTAATAAGTTTCCACAATATTTGTGCAGGCCACTGAGGTTACAAGTATGCATTTGGAAGGATGTCAAAATGCCCTGCATTTTATTATAAGCAGGAGACCTTTAGGGACCTCCAAGCTCAAATACTGAAAACTTCAAGCTGCATTTTGTTCCAGTGATATAAGTGTAGAACTACTTTTAACATTTGGCAACAAGTTTGTTCTTTGCTTTTTTGTTTGTTTGTTTGTTCTACACAGCTCAGTTTCTTTACAGATGCCTGCAACGTGCAAGAATTCATCTGACAACAGTCCTAATCAGTCCTTTCCATGCCTCTCACCTCTGTGGTGGTCTGCATCGTGGTGCTTCTTGTCATCTTTTATTGCCAAGTGAGACTGCCCACCCAGAGCACTTGAGAGGGCAAGTAGGCCGGCGCTGCTGCCAAGCGGAGGAATTCCAGGGGGCTGAAGTCCAGATGGATGTGGAGTTAGAGGCACTGGGGGTCCATGGCCGTGTGAGAGATGCTGAGCCTGCAACTGCTGTTGCTGTATTTCGTAGAGGTGTTTCCAGAGAGAAGCAGCAGAGTTTTGAAAGAAAACAAGAAGAAAAATAAGAGGCACCAGTTAGCCAGCGGAACTCAATACAACTTCCTGTTTCCAAAGCCTACCCTATTTCAACCTGCCCCAGCTAATCACCCCCCATACTGGATTTCACAACTGCTTGAATATTTCCTCAGATATTGATCCTCTTTTGTATTACAGAACTAAGCCGTGTAATTTAATCTACAGCCCGACTAACAGGAGATTTGTGCCGTCTAGACTCGTAAAGACATCTGGCATCTCTCCAAATCCACCTCTATATTAACAGAATTAGTGCAACCGAAATATTGTTTGCCCATATCTCCCTATCCCAAAAAGCTTATTTTCACAACTGCTTTGAGTAGAGACCAAAAAAATAATAATAATGACAAATTAGAAAGCAGTATCTAAAATAAGGCTCCATTGCACATTCACTAGGAGTTTTTCCCACACTGAAAAGTAAGCTGAAAACCTTAGCTTCTAAGGGCATTTCGGCATCCTTTAATGCTCGCACATAATAAACCTGTTGCCCTTATTCCTCTCCCCCACCCTTTAAATGAATGTTTCTCATGGACATAGCCAGAATAGAGACAGATGGCTGATCTGATGAATAGTTCACGGTAATTTCTAACAAGATGCTTTGTTTCAGATTTACTTCTGAGTGGTCACATTCACATGACATAAACCAGAAAGGACTAATGCATGTCACTTAGTCATTCCTATTTGGCTCCTCCTAGACGAAGGAGTGGCTAAAACACATTGTGGATCTTCCATCACTGATTTGTTTATTGGAACATACAAACCAGGAAGTCAGGCTTGTTTCTGCACTGATAAACCCAGGTCCTAATCCCTGACTTGAATTCCACAACAACCTGCCCATCCTTGCTCACATATTACAATAAACATATCACAGTTTAGCTAATCCCCCTTGCAGTGAAAGCAGTTCAGCGGTATGTGCCACCACATAGGATCATCTAGAATTTGTTACAATTCTGGCTTTATCCAGAATTTTGTCTGGCTTTATCTGGCTTAATGTTCCGTTTTATATTGCACAGACTGAATGCATGCCTACCAGCCTAGCCATTCGTGAAAGATCCAATAGCATCCTCTGAACCCTCTCCCATTTATTCAGTCTGTACATGAAGTTGAACAGAGGCCTATGTAGCGTTCACCCTTATTATGTTAAGTAGTTATGAATATTCACATTGTAGGCTAATGTTGCTGAGAGGTGGAGCTGAGAGATATGTAATAAAAAGGCGGAGTCTGTCAGTGACAAAGAGGAGAATGAGAGAGTGGAGAAGGAGATAGAGTGTGGTATTTTGGGAGATCTGAGGTGATTAGTGAAAAGTGAATAAGAACAGTAATGACAGAAGGTTGAGATTGATGATACTAGAAGTTACCTATGATTAATAATAATAACATCTGTAATCAATGAAAATGTTTTATTTAAAAGACAGTGAAGTTTGCATCTGCATCTTCATCCTTTCATAATTAATGCTGACTTAGTAATCAACTGGTGGCAACGGGGTAAAAAGGAGTAGTAGTTTGCCTTTGTGTGCTCTGTGTCTGGACGGTCAGGCAAGGGGCACGAGGGCAAACACCACAGCCTACAACAGCCAAAATGAGTTTTTTCTCCATATGTAAAGGCCAGAAAAAGAGAAATTTCAATGGTATCTGTTCAGAAGTAAATTCCACCAATTCAAAAGGATTTATGGCAGGCAAGTGTATGAGGCACTGTGTCTTAGCCACCCAGAAGTCTTGCCTGGTCCCTTCCATATGGACAAGAACGGTTCTGCTTTCATGACTGCAGCCAAACTGTGCTATATAACAGGTGATAGCATAGTTCCGTGTTAAATAATGCCTGACTAGTATAGTCATGCCAATTTCATCCTTCATCTCTGCAACAGATTTTTACCTCTCTCTCTCTCTCTCTCTCTCTTTTGTTAAGAAAATTAGCAGAGCAATCTATCCCTAAACAGGAGCATGAAGTTCTTTTTAAAAATCAGTTTGGGAGACTTTCAGGAAAACAGATATTTGTTTTCTCTGCTTGTACTTTAGATCAAGAATATCAGATGAACAACTCAACTTTCCAGATTAAAATTGGCCACCTGCTATCAATAAAGCCTTGGAAACAAGTCATTTGGACAGGCAGTGAAATCTAGTACACAGCAATTGGGGAAATCTAAATTTAAAATCCTCCTCAGTCACAGACTCACTGGAGAGCTTCGGGTGAGTCATGACCTCAGCTTCATTTCCCACCATTAAAAAGCTATGCCAATCCACAGGGTTACTGTGGGGACACAAATTAGAAACCACTTTCATATTTACAACAAAATTTCTAACTATGAAACAAACAGAACATTGTATGTATGTTCTAATAGTCATAGCAGAACATTTACCAGATAGTAAATATCCCTTTCATTCTGTACCATTCATTGGGATATCCAAATGATGTTTTACTTTTTTAGTAATCATCTCTGCCACCACATTCAGCACCTCCTCTTGTGTAACTTTCTCTCTCATGATATCAACATCCAAAAGAGGAGGGGGAATAACAGCTTATTCCGGAGGAGTAAGCAGCATGCTCGTCCATGGCTCAAACTATGAATTTCCAAAATTTCATTTCATTTATTGCTATTTTCCCTATAAATCATTTGAATACCAGAAAATGTATTTATGCTGTTGTTGCTGTATGCCTTTACAAGTAGACCAATATGTAGCAAATAAAATACATGTATTCCATTTTATGTGACTAAGATAGACAAGAGAATTGAGTGGACCAATTTTCATCCAGCTACTGTACAATCTTACTGCAGCCTAGTCCATATGAATAATGTAGGGACAGAGAGTTGACAAAGAATAAAGGATGAGGAAAGTGCGTTAATGTGCGACCGATGCTGTACCACCAAAACATGCAGCAACTATGCCCTACTGGTTTATCAACGTTTGGGTGGCATACATGCAGCCTCTATGCGCCTCTATGCACATATTTGATGGTACTCAAATTGAGCATATTTGATGGTACTCAAACTGAGCCTCGTGGCGCAGTGGTTAAAACGCTGTACTGCAGCTAAAACTGTGCTCACGACCTGGGGTTCAAATCCCAGGTAGCCGGCTCAAGGTTGACTCAGCCTTCCATCCTTCCGAGGTCGGTAAAATGAGTACCCAGCTTGCTGGGGGGGCAATGTGTAGCCTGTATAATTAAAAAATTGTAAACCGCCCGGAGAGTGCTACGTAGCGCTATGGGGCGGTATATAAGTCCAATAAATAAATAAATAAATAAATACTGTCATAGAATTCTGCCTCACAATAGCCAAACAATGCAGAATACGCATGCATAGGGGGAGGCACTCTAATCCCACCCACTCTATCCCACATTTTGTCACCTTTCTATGTGTAAATAGCAACAAGTGAGAAGAGGGACAGTACTCCCTATCCAAAAGGGTTCTTCGCATGAATCAGGGTGCTAGTTTTCAGGAACCCGGACTCACATGGAGTGCCTCCATAGACAGCAGAGGCTTTCCCTCTTCAGACTTGTCACCCTCTGAGAAGGGTCACAACAGTTTGGATCAAGTCTTCTTAAACATTATTTCAACATGTGTAGGAGGTGCTAACTCCTTCTCATACACGCAAGCGTACACAGAGAGACTGAGAGAAGCTGCAGCAGTTCTCCTAACACCTGTTTTGTTTTCACCAAAAGTTCCGGGACTAGGAAACTATTTGTGGGCCACCTCAGAAGTGACCGGAATATGTTCACAACTTGTCACTTTCAGACTATAAGCCTGAGGGTAGGAACTGTCTCACTTATTATTGATTTTACATACTTTCTGTGTGGACTAAATGAATTAAATGAAATAAAATAGTAAATAGAGTACAAGTGCTGTATAATATGCCCTCGTGAGCTGGCAGTAGCAAAATGCACTTTCATGGATGCTCATTAGCACTTGTTTTGGCCACAGATGCCGTTCCATTCCTGGTGCATAAGTTGATAAATAGAGAAGGACATCTTCCAATTGTTCCACTGTCTCAACCAGAAGAACACACATAATGACTTTGAAAAAGCCAGGATGTGAAATTAACGTCAAACAACGGCCTGAGATCTTGGTTTACTCTGAAGCAGTTGAACATCATTTCACATGAAATAGTCAACTAACATTCTTTTATGTCATGTCGTCATTATTCTCCTAATGATTGGCAGAAGGTGGCAAGTACCTCTTCAAAAGAAAAAAACAAACGCTGCCACTTCTCTCGAAGAAAGGAACTCCTCAGGAATGACACGAGCCAAGATGAATGTGTTACTAATCTAAGCACAAAAATCTGGTTTTGGGGACATTCGTTTTAAAAATCCCTTTAAAATTTCCTTTTGTCTCTTAGCCATTTTAATGATTTTGTTTTTAAAAAATCAAGACACATATAAGTCTTAAACCAAGCAACAGCCTTACTTTATCACCAGGGTTGGACAGTTAGGGTTAGTCTGGAGCCAGCTGCAAGACTGGGGGGCGAGGGGGGGAAGGAACCCCTGCTATTTTGAGATGCAGGAAGGCAGCATGCAACAGTTAAATGGAGAACTTACAAGATTCCATACACACATGCCAGAGTTCAGCAACTACAATCAGTATTAATAAAACACTGAGTTTCTGCCAGGATGACTGAAGAAATGCATCAACATATGCTTCTAAATTAAACCAAAACAATGAACAAGTATCCTGTACTTTTAAGTGTGTCTGTCTCTATGCCTGTAAGCCACTGACAGACAGCAGATGCAGACTAAAGAAGCACAGTTCTTTTTTGGCTGGAATTAAGAGCGGCAACAAAGCTAAACATTCATAACTGAAGTAATTTAATGTTTGCTTTTCATTGCATTGGAATGTTTCCTAGTGCAGGCTGGGGCTTAAATCTTCAGAGGATTTTTTTTCTCAAAAGTTCACTTCTGTGGGAAAATAATGGGTGGGGGGGTGGGGTGGGGT